AGTACAGCTTGAGGTGAACTCCCAGAGTGTAGGTGCTCAGTCTAGGTCAGTACAGGCACCGATCCTGGTCAGGCATGTTCTTCATTAAAACACGTTCATCTCTTTGCCAACTCCATCCTGCTATCGGGGCTATTTTATATCGGGTGTATTTTTTCTTCTAGTTGTTGGCTTTGCATATTTGTTCTTGGTTTCTACGCGTGATGTATGTGTTACGGAATGAAATACAAGTTGCAGTTTTATATTCCATTGCTACTTGGCAGGTTTAGCAGTTTTTCTGACATTTTATTTCATGTAAATCAGTCCCTAGACTAACTGCAAAGGCTTTTGCAAAATCCTCGTTACATAGCTACTGAAATTTCACCATTACAGTGTTTCAATAGGAACTATAAATAATAAATGCAAAACTTAGAGATTATATAGCACATCACTGAATACATCATCATAAAGATTAGACTAAGGCAAGAAAACTTTTCTCTGAGTACACAGCATAAATAAGCTGTTAAATCTTTTGCACTGAAGCATAAAACCATAGAATTGTCTAAGTTGGAAAAGACCTTCAAGGTCACCAAATCAAGATCGTCAACCTGACCTGACTTATTCCAGACCCAGTTTTTGAAACATTGGATAAAAAACCTAAATGCCAAAGAATTTCTTAGAATCTGCAGAAGGTGTGGATAAAGAGAGCTCTGTAATACAAAAGTCTGGTGAGATTTTAGTGAAGGTAATATCTGAACGAAAAAAATATTCTAATGCAGGAATTGGCCTAAAAGTCCTGTCCTTTTTACTTCTGGAGAACTCCAAGCTAATTCAGAGGAGGTTTCCCTCAGCTGGATTGCAAAAGGCTTTGTGCTGAAGTAATTCAAAACTAGGCAGGCCTTGTAGTTTGGAGAATGGATGAGGCATTGATTGCCCAAGACACTTGGATAGGTAAGAGCAGTCTACTTCCATTTTTATTATAATTTCCCATTTCACAAGTTGTTCTGCCTACTGCCCATCCCTCAGTTTATCCAGAATCTCCATCTGCACTTTGGAGAAACATCTTCATTTCAAGGGTACGTAGATGAGCAGATTGATACACATTGCTTTTGGTTCCCCCCACCTAAGAGTCTGTAATTCTCGGGGTGCCTGTTCCCACGCCCTGGCAGAGGAATTCACCAGAGCCTTGGCTTAGGGTTTATTTTCTGTTGACTTCTGGAGAGATAGACGAGACGCTTGACTGGTCTCACATCACACAGATTCCAGGTATTTCCAAATATCTGTAAAGGAGAATCCTGATACACCTCTTTTACTCTCTTGCTGTGGGACTGTGCTGGGGCTGTGCAACAAAATCTGTTGGCAGCACAGCCTCTGCCCCATCGGATAGCTGCAACCAGGACAGACAACGTAAAACCTTTGTCAGATGCCAGTGGCAGGCAGCTGCACTGTGGAAACTGCCAGCCTAAAGATCTTCCATAATATTTTGAAAGCTACTTAAGGGCCCAAGTTTTACACATTAACTTGAACAGCCTGAGGGTTTCCCACTGTGCGGTGTAACTCAGTAATGTCATCTTCTGTAATTTCCTACTATTTAATTCAGCACCGAAAGCTGAAAGGTACTTGGTACATTTTCTGAAGGAGTTTGAAAATCCAGGTGAGTTGGGTTTTTTTGACTACATTATCTGTTTTTCTTTATTATTTTTTTTTTCTCCAGGCATTTTATTTTATTTTCTCAGAATCTCACTCTATAGGTAATATATAACATATACTACAAATTTTTGGAAAGTGATGCTATTGTAACAGCACAGATGACTTCAAAACACCTGAAGGGTCCAACTGCAAAAATGTTCTTTGAATCTTTTGAGTCCTGTTCCATTCATCAAACGGAGGTTTGCTTGTCAGCTTTGCTTTTGAAAAAGGATGAATCGTGTCCCCTCATATCACAGCTTTTCTTCAGGAGGTTTTTGGCAGAGACCAAGTTAGGATTGCCAAAAATACTTTATAGGCTATTTTGTACAAAACCAGTGTGTGTATGTCTTCTCCAATCTCAGCCCAGCACCCAGAGATGCCTGCTGAAGACAGTCTTGTGATTTCAAAGACAGGGATCTTCTGCTATCAACAACATGCCTCTTTTCTCAGGGCCTATACATTTTAATTTTGAATTCTCTAGTAATGACCAGTGAATCATGCATGTTTATTAAAACATGTAAGCAGCATGTGAGTCTACGGAGGAGAAAGGACAGTCCTCTTGATACTATCTACATGTTTTCCTACAAGATCTGAATGCACCAAATCTCTTTGAATTTGATATGATCTTTCAGCATGTCTTGATTTAATGTTTGTGACTAGTCATTTTCCAAAGTTCCTGTAATTTCGTAATAGAAACAGCTGTACAGCTAATTTCCACATTAGTGAGATGTGAGGTTACATTTGCAGCTCTCACCATTCATAGTAAATAGTAGGACAAAAGAAATGTCCTATCCTAATTGTCACATTATTAAGAAAAGGGGGATTAAAGAAAAATGGACTCTGTACAAATGTTGTGTTCATCATTAATACCTGAAAATCCTGAAATTAATAAAGACTCTTTCTTTTAAATTAATAATTAGAACCTGTTTCTAAACCAGCATTTGTCTGACAATATTGTTATGAGCTGATTTGTTTATTTATTGACTGATAATAATCCATCATTGCCAAAGTAACTTCCCCAACTTCCTTCTCAGGCAGGCAGAAAACAAGAATAAATGGTAGAAACTTTGCAAAGTTCAACTGATGACATTTCCACCTATCAGCTCCAGAGAATGCATAACTGAAGCACCGAAAGCCCAGGTCTGACAGACACACCAAGGAAATGTGAATGTACAAAGCTACATCAGTCCTGTCTTACACAACTCATTTCCCATTTTCCTCCCCTTAAGGTACCACTCTGTTTTCCTGGCAATCATTATTTCAGCACCTGGCTCTTCTACCTGTGTAGGCATCCCATGTCTGCAGAAGATGAGCAAAAGGGAGATAATAATAACTGTATTATTTCTCGCGAGGAAGCCATCCCAAGCTTGCAGCCATTTTGCTCCTCTAGTTTTGGACTCTCAGTTTGTTAGGGTAAAGAGAAGAACAAACTTCCGAAGTATGGGAGGAATGGCAGAAGGAATTTGTGCTTCCCTCTCGTTTCCTTTCTCGTTTCCTTTCTCGTTTTTGCTCTTGTACAACTGAATCTGAGAAGACGAGGCTATTGCAGGGCAATTTTCAGATAGCTTAAATTCCACCTAAGCTCCAGAGCTTCATTAATGAAAACAGGAAAGTACCTCTCAGAAAAGTGCTTTGGAGTGTCCAAGCCAGGCACTGAGCAGGGATGCACGAAGCACAAGGACTGAGCAGAATTTAAGCCATTCAAATATAAGCATAAGAAGCTTCCTTTGGCAGGTACAATTTTGAATCAAAATTGCAGGCCTCACAACTTCTCTGATTTGATCACTCAAGTTGAATTAGCTCATTCTGATTTGAATGAAGCAAAGTCATTGTCCCAAACTTCAAATTTTTGGATTCCTTTCTCATTGGATATGATTATTCAACTAAAATATTTACAAACCACACAGAAGAATACATGCCTTTTAAGGAATTACAATTAATTTCAAAGACTGTATCTTTGAATAAATATTTGAGTATTTTTCTCCTCTTACATGTCCTTATTTATTTCTCATCTTGCTTTCCTGCTTTGGTGAATTTCTGTGGAAAACAGAATACAAACATGGGCCAGAATCAGACAAAATGTAGGACAGGTACCATGGAAACTTCCCCATTATATCTCAGCAAATTATTCCACCCTGAATTTGAGCACTTGTGGTCTAAGCTTATACAGCGATTGTCAAACTTGTCACTCAGTAATGATGGTATAATGAGGGTAAAATTTACCTAATTGTAATACAAGGAAGGAAGAAGCAAATTAATGAAAATAAGTGAATCATCAAGGAAAGAGAAAGTGGAAAGCCAGATCATCCATCTTCCTGCCAGAAAAGGACTGTTTTCTGTAACCACTGCCAGAATTCAGCTGGCTTAGCTTTAAACGTCAAAAGCGACAGAGCTTTCACAAGTCTCCTTCAGAAGATCACAGTTTCATTTAAAACAGGCAAAGATTTACTCCGGGAGGAAGGCAATGGCACAGCTGCCCCATCAATGCTACTCAATATTGTACACAAGGACTACTGATACTGTACAGGCCAGTCTCAGGGCTGTGCAGTCTCCTGCAAACATCTGTGGGTCTACGGTCTGAAAGCCAAACCCTGATGATTATATTAATTCTGAATACTGCCTTAACTATCTGAATTATCTGTTTGGGTCATCTTGTCTCCCATTCGCCTAGGGAGTGGTATCTTGCCCTTTGTTTAAACCCGCTGCATCTGGGAACACTCAGTGCAGGTATCAATGCCTGGCTTTAAAATAACAATCATGTTGGCTTTAGATCTTAGTCAGTGCATGGAAAGATGCATGATGCAAAGCTGGTCCTCCCCAGCACGTGGGCATCCTGGTGTGCCCCTTCTCTCTGAGAGGAAGCTCTGACAACTCACTTAGGTGCCCTTAATAATGTCAGCAGAGACAGAAACCTGTGTTTGGCTGTTAAAACAGCTACGATGGGCTCCCCCAAGAGATGCTTTGAAGCTGTCCCAGAGAGGGTTTCCAGCTTGTTACCATGTGTAAGACAACGCTTGCATCTCTGCAGCAGCCCCCAACATCAGCAGGATTTCTGTACACTCCCTGAGGAGAGGGAGGATCCATGATAATTCAGTTTGTCAAGGCTATGATCACATAATCCTTTTACTTTTACTTTTTTCCTAATATCTGTTATATATACATATATATATTTTTTTTTTCTTGAGTGAAATGCTACTCCTGAAAATCATGCGCATTGTTTTGAGATGATGTAAGAAGATCACTGATGTAAAGTTGCATGGTAGTTCCTGCTTAAATATGGTTATCAGCTGGGCCCTGCTCAGTACAGTCAGAAGAAATGGAAATCTAGAAAAATGTTATGTTTCAGAAGCTATTCCGCAAGATTTATTGCCACTGCATGCTGAGCTGGTTACATGGACAAAGAACACATGTAGTTTAATCTGAAGGCTTGAAGGAAAACAAGCAAGGAAGAATGGCTCAAGACACCTCTTCAGGGTTGCCAAGAGAACATTTGCACAGAACAAAACCCGATGATCATAAATAATACCAGAAGGATATGAATGATATTATGACAGAGAGGAGGTCAGAATCTCTACAGTGCTGTCCTAGCAATGATATGACCTAGATTACCATTCAAAAATGAGAAATAACATGAACAATATTTCAGACATGTATATCGACATGCTTGTAAATCTTCAAAATTTTGCTCCCTCAGTGGAAATAAATGTTACTTTTCTTTTAAGAAGTCTACTTGGGTATTAAATACACTACTGATTACAGGCTCCTGAAAAGGAAAAACAGCTGCCAATTTTTTTCTTTACAAGGAAAGCATAGGAAAATATATATGGGACTGGTCTAAGGGTGGGGACTCAGGGACCACAGCGCATTCATAAATCGAACAGAAGTGTCATTTATTTGGTATGACACAGAACAGGCAGATTCTGTATGCCTTTGGTCAAAGGGAAAGAACATTTTTTCATGGGCACCATTATATGAATTGCTTTCAGCAGCGTTTCTTCCGCTCGTAGCAGCATTGGCAGCATACACAAGTTGTATTTTTTCCATCTTCTCTGTACTCGTTTACTGTTCAGCACACTCAGAGATTTCCACAATTACTATTCAAATGCCCATAACAACTGTTTTAAGAGGAGATTCGGACACCAGCTTTGCTCACTGCTGCTGCCCACAAGGGGATGTGCTCCCCAGCATGGGGCAGGTGCCAGCCTTTCCTACTGTCTACATCAAAAATAGGGGATTTGCTGTAGTGCATCCCTCTGAAGTCAGGAACAAGTTCATTTATTGAGGAATGACCCTGTAGGGTTGATCTTAATTGCTATTTCACTGTGAACTTTATTCAACCAGATATTGGCCATGGTGTTACCTGTGGTAGCCTGGATCTGTGTGGTCGAGAGGATTTGGTTTTTATACTTCTTTTAAGTCTGAGGCTTAGTAGTAATGGTTGCTTTTGACAACGTTTTTTACCCCATGCTGTCTTTATTTCATTTTCTTTCCAGCAGAAAGACATTTCTTCCACAGCCCCATGTCTACATAACACAAATAAATAATGTGACAATGATATACATTTGCTTAGCACAGGCTTGAAACAGAGTCACAGGGGGAGCTTTTGGTCTGAGTACTAATGCATGACTGCTGCTAAAATTTTAGAGACAAGATAATCCCTTTTTAATTCTTGGAGGCTTTTCTAGGATGATACATACTTATTTACATGGAAAAAAAATGAAAACCAGGACTGCATCATTGCATCTGTACAGTTTTTGAAATGTTTTGACACATTCTCAGAGATTTACTAGGTAATTTCACACGCTTGTCTGGCAATTTATAATCCATTATTTTGCACTACAGGCTGCATCCTTGAGTTTATTTTATGGCATAGATACAAAATAAACTAAATGACAGCAGCACCCAGCCTTTCCCTTTTATCTATAGGATTGACCTTCAGTAAACAGAATCCAAGGGATATTGTGCATGCATTTTGTTATATATTTATATTAACGGGAACCTCTGGAATACTGTGTCTGAGTCAATGAGGAAGCAAGCCTTGGCTGAGGGTAGCGGAACAATGCAATCATTTAATAATCCATGTGCCACAAGGATCTTTCAGGGTCAGTGTTGCATCCAAAGGTGCACTGCTTTGGAACCATCTCTGGACCTTGGTTTTCTAATAGTAGCTGCTGAGAAACGTTTTTGTGAAAACTTTGTGAAAATCTGTAATATTTCTCTGTGAGCTGATGTCTTTCCTACTTACACTGGGATCAGTGTCAAATGCAGCCACAAATCTACCACTCAGTTAAGGTCAGAATTAGTCACCCCAAACTGGAGATAGATCACTATGGAAGGAGGGAAGTAACTAAGCATTATATACTATCATTTTGATGTTGACTTGGACATTTGAGTCCTGACCCTACTTCCTTTCTTTGATTGAATCAGAAACCAATGAAGCAACTCTGTGTTGTAAGCTCTAGAAGTAAAAGAAAGAAAATAGAGAAATAAAGAAAAATAGAAGAAACTTGGTAAAAAAAGGAGAGTTCCACCCTGAATTTCAAGGGAAAAATATTTTTATATGGAAAATAACTTAAAAATGGAGGAGGAATGGAAAAGAGAGGAAAGAAAGGTATGATGGACCTGCAGTTCAAGATTTGCTGCCATTTCAGGAACGCTGGAATTTTAAGAGTTTGTTTTCTCCACTGTTTGGAATCACATCATATTTCTGTACTAGAGCTGAACTACTCCAAGGATAAACATGTTTAGCTCCAGGCATTTGGTTTGTCACCAGCTGGGAGCAGGGGAAAAGCCTTGCTTATTCTATTGGGAAGCTTCTGTTCCTCCAGTTAAAAATAAATAAATAAATAAATAAATAAATAAATAAAACTCAGCTAATTTACTCATCCTCCCCTCCCCTCCCCCCCCCTTTTTTTTTTTTTTTGGAAGGGTTATAGTTGGATGATTCTTCTTACGGAATGTATTTCATTTCATCCTAAATCTTCTTGTCTGTTCATTTTGGACATTGGTCTATGCAGCATCAGGATGTGCATCATTACAGATAATTTTTTTTTAAAATTTTATTATAGACCTGATGGTCACCTGTACTCCGTATTATTTTACTGAAATAAGAATAAGTGCTGTTATTTAGCAGTGCTGTACTGTAGGTTAGAAGGAGCAGTACTGTGGTGCCTCTAGTCTAAAAAAAGTCCATTATTCAGCATAAAGAAATATACACTTCTCTTCTAGGAAACCAGAACTGTATCCCTTTGGGACAGTCAATAGACTCAGGGAATAGCCAGGAATATCTGCTGTATGGGGCATGATATATGATCTTCTAGGAGCAAGGGAAACTGAGCCAATGTTCCCATTTGAAAAGAAAACAGCAATCCTTGTTTGAGGTTCAGTCCAATGGAAATCTGGCCAATCTGAAGAAATAGATTTGTTTAATGTAAAAGCCTAGCATTATATCTCTAACATTTTGTATATTTTGCTGTAGGTTTATATTCCTAATTATGTAATTAACATTCATTATGTCTGTATAAAAATTTGTGTAAATTCTCCTGTAACCAAGCTTAAATAATACCACTTATTTTAAACACACTTGGAACAAAAGAGTAGCGTCTATTACCTCCAGCTCCATGTGTTTTTCTTCCTTGTCATGGTCCTTCAATTCCTTTTTGGAACGATCATCGCAGTCTTCTCCATGACAGATGTGTTGATCCTTAGTAAGTTCATGTTTAGCTTGCTTTCTTGGGAAAACATTCCTTCTGTGGAGACCATCAAAAAAAGCCTCATACAGTGGCAGCTCTGTAAACAGATCGTCATCGTCTTTGCCATCTGCTTTTTCCTCTTCAGATGAAAAATCTCCTGCATCCCCTGCCTCACAAATATGGAGCTCAGTATTAACTTCATGTGGTAAAAATTCAAAATCAGAAAATGTGATTGCACTTGGTTTGTGTTTTATGACTCTGATCTCGTGACTTCTTTCTGTTTTTCTGTCTGAAGTTTTTCCTGTAAGGAGTGGCCATTCCTTGTGCAAGGGAAGGTTTAAAGGATCTTCCTTTGGCATGTGCCTTGCAGAACACAGCAATTCCTTATGAAGCTGCTCTGCTTCACACTGACTGCTGACACTAACACACCTTGCATCCCTGCTAGGTCGCAAGGATGTGTCATTGTGGTCTAATAGGGATGCCACAGACAGCAAACTCAACTCAGGTTCCAGTAAAACATCCTGAAATTCAGATGTACTTTCCTGTTCTGTCTTTCTTTGGAATTCTTCACACTTTGCTCCCTTTGCAGTCCCCAGGCACTTGGCGGTAAGATGTGGTGAGCCTTGTCCTTCTGCATAGATGTTGGTTTCCATTCCAACGAGCTTCACCCATCAGAGATCAAAATGACTTCATTCTTGGTTTTCTTACGATACATCACTTCACATATGTAGCCAGGAAATACCTCCTTATTTTTCCAAAACCATGATCACACAATCATTATTAATGCCTCAATTCTTACATCAATTTTCTGAATCCCCTCTGTTCCTGAAAAATAAAAGAAAAAGAAAAAAAATTATTGATGGTAACAGGCTTGCACTGGAATGCATCAGTAGAAGTAATCCTGAAATACGACATTCCTGGATCAAATTTACTTACAGCTCTCTTCAAAAATATTAGATATACGCAGATTAAATGAACTTAAAACATCACGAACCTTGACTTCTTTACCTTAACGATGAGGAAAGAACTGGCAAACACAGAAATGGTTTTTAAAATATTATTATTGTTGACACAATGGATCAGAATCATTCAACCTGATGTTAGATAGATGCTTGTTTCCAAAATGTGCTTCTTATTCACTGTGGGTTTTTTTTGTCTGTTCAATTATTGAGAACTTTTACAGTGTTTTGGCCAAGCTACTGAAATGTCATGAGGAAGGGCAAGGACTCAAAGGAGCTGACAGAAAAGGAAGAACATTTCAATATAGGTAGAGTTTTCTGTCACTTGCCTCCTCTGAATTGCCAATGTAGTGTAGCACCTGTCCATTTCCAATAAATTTGCAAAGCAAAAAGAGAAGGCTAAAAATATGGAAAGCTCCAGTTCTACGTCAGAGTTGCCCGTGTCTGGCTTAAATCAGTCTTAACTTCTGTGCTCGCTTCTAGTCTGTGGACCTCCAATGCACAGGAAGACAGGAGCAGCGAGGAACTGATCTTGCATCACCGAGTAGCTTACATTTACCCTTAGATGTAATTTACTTTTTTGTGACAGATTGAATATTGATAGTATTTATTTTAATGATTGTTTCAGTACTCCATCTGGGAGACAGCAAAGCAGAACAGAAGCTTTTCAAAATAAGAAGAGAAGCTTACGCCTTTGATGTTCGTGGCAGGCCTGTCACTGATGGGGAAGGCTTGTCAGAAGGCAGCGCTCTGATTGTCAAAGTGGGAAGCGAGCAGAGTAAGATGCTGGCATGTGATGCGCCTGTCACTGCTTGTGCCGTAAGCAGTGTATTTTATTACACCAGTGAGGTGTATTTTATTGCTGGTGAGTATATATTTTAGTTTTATAGACATACCTTGGGTAACAGAAAGAGTATTGTACATAGAAAGAATATTTAGATTCATGGTATTAACATTATTCATGATATTATTCATGTAAACTTCAGCTGTAGAAGGGGTGAGCATTCAGGTATGCGTAATTTAGATAGCCTTCCCCTCAGCTATAGTTGGCTATGTAAAAGTCTGACATTATTGTAAGCTGTCTGGCCTCCTGCTGGAGTCAGTGGAGGGAGAAAAATGCTTCCTGAAGGTAAATGCTCTCACTGATCTTGATACCTATTTTGGCATGAGATGAGTCGCCCTCCTAGCGTGACCACCTTATCCAAAACTATCAAGGTGGGCTAGACAAAATGTTTACACCAGTCACCCAACTTTTAGATGGACAAAGGCACGAAGAATCTCATCCCATGTCTTTTTTTTTACACAATAGCAGATTGCAATGTCTACATGCAAGTGACAAACCTGCATCTGAAGCCCTCATTGTCTCAGAAGCTTCCAGCAGGATTAGAAATCCCCAGGTCTCCAGGGCTCCCACCCAAACTCTCTTTTCTGTCCTCACCCTTCCCTAATGTCATCCTTTTTTTCTGGCAGAAATTGGCCATCCAAGGCCTGCTCCCTGGACCCTCCTTAGTTCTGGTAACACTGCTCAGCAGGCTGTACTGTGATAACACCTGCAGGAATACACCTCTGTGTTTGTAGGAACAACTTTGTTATAACAAAACAAAAATACAGCTTAAAATGGTCCAGAAAAATCTACAAAAATTCTACACTATGCAAGCATGGGGCAAGTGAATTATGTATTATTTATTGCTAGTATTTTAAGATGATGCTTCAACTCCAAAATGTTAATTATAATCACTGCAAAAAATTGTATTTTTGTTATCTCTGAATATTCTGCATATAAAATAAATGTTTATCTTCTTTTTGAACTTTGCTTAGTTCTTTTTTTTTCATATGATTTTCAGTTTTATAGGATGTGGTGCGAAGCTGTAATTTCTGCAGTTTAATTAAAAAGGCACGAAAAAGTTTTTCCTTTTATTAGGTTTTCTTACTTCAGCGGACTCTTCTTATTTTTTTATTCTTCCTACGATGAAGCCAGGACAAAGAAAGCATGCAGGAGCAGGCTGCTTTTGTGCAAGAAATCTCTAAAGAGGAAGTGGTAAGAAGAGAGTGTGAGTTCACCCACACATCCTGTGGAACATATCTTTTTACTTGACCTAGTAGTGACTGGAAAAAAAAAAAAAAAACAAATACAAAAACACTCATACAAAATACCAAATTCCATATTTTATAAAAAGTTACACATAGACATTCAAAGCTCCTAAAAACTGAACATTTTTGGCAGAGCTATGGATTGGAAATCCTGTCCATAGCAAAATGTGTAGCTCAGAGAGGTCTGAACATTCAGAGCTAAATCTGTACATGTTATAAAAGGCCTCTAGTACAGAGCTGCGAAGTAAGATAATTATCACCACAGTTATAAATGTATGCACTTATAAGCTCTGAAAAATAATAATCTCTCTGAAAAAGGTTTTCGAGGCTTTCTAAGAAGGGAAATTACTTTCATATGCGTATGTGATTCTCAGTATATACTGTAGCATTAGCTGTGCCAGTAGTCACTGGTGTGGGTTAAGATGTTGAAAAATAAAAACCACTTGGACATATATGTGTTTTTTCTGACTAGAGGGATGATGTAGGGACTACCACAGTTAACTGTGCAACTAAAACCAACTCCAAAACAGCTTAAGGAAGAGCACAAAAAAAGCAACACAGGATATATATATATATATATTTAAGGTAACATGTGAAATCCATATCTGGGTGTAATATCCAATCAACTTCAGGTTTTACACACAAAAAAAATTAAAACTTACAAATTGAATTTTACTTTCCAACAAAAGCTCGTACAAATCAGCAATGGGTTAATATAGGTACAAGGTACAGATAGTGAAATGATATGGAAGGAAAATTTTCTTACGTTTTGGTACAAGCAGAGGTATCTGTGCAGACTCACAGATAAATTTTTGTGTATCATGCTCTCTTGGCTTGATTCTCCTTTGCCCAGACAACAAAAATTGTATTGAAAGTCACCAAGTTTTGCACAAAGATCACACACACACACACAAAAAGCACATATTAGGCTTAACCATTAAATAGGAGGATTTTACTCGTGTATATTTTCTTGAGTCAATACAAGGACAGCAAGTCACCTAAAATAACTTTGCAAACACTGATTAAATGAGTGCACGAGTGTATATCAACAGCCACTCTCCATTTTGACATTGCAGAGCATGTGAATGTATGGAATTTTCATACTTTTTAGAAGAAAGTTTAAATGGGAAGTGACACAGTTAACCACCAAATCAAGTCGTGGTCTTGGCTGGAACGGAACAACACTCATCCAAAATAGCTTCTACCCCTCAGCCCCTAGCGCATTTGTTTCCCTTTCACAATGATGTTGTTTAATATTTCCCATTGACTTAAACAATCTTCCCCTGAAAAATTAAACAAAAAAGCCAAGAGAATGTGAGACACACAAACTAACAGCAAATTAGGAGATTAGGATTTTCTTTTCCTGATGATAATTTTACCTGTTTTGCAAGGTAACCCCATATTTTTCAATTCAGTTAATTTCCATGAGGGTAACAACAGGAACTCAGTTAGTAGCCAAAAGATCCTCCAAGCGTTGGGGCAGAACAGAAAAAGAAATGAGCAGATCCTTAACAAAAGGCATTTCAGCTTGCTTGCTGCACAAGAACTCTGTCAACAGAAGTATGTGTGAGAATCCCTGGGGCTAAAACAGCCTTCTGCAAGCACCGGCCAAATTATTCACAGAAAAAGACAGAAAAAAAAGGAGAGAAAAAAAAAAGTAAAAAGAGAGATCATGAGCATGCTTCATAGGATCACCAGGCACTTCTAAAAATAGTGTGACCTCATTCCTCACATTGTGCCAGACCTGAACATCGTGCTCTGCTTTATCACCTGGAGCACCTGGAGCCACGTTCCCAGTGCAAACACTCTGCATACTGTCAGGTTTTGAAAAGGGAAGCTACAAAATGCCTTTTGATGTAATAATTCCAATAGAAAGGAATATCAAAATTAGCTTCCCATGTCACTTTTCAAATTCTAATTGTTGTTTGTCTATGCTTCAACACCTACATTTTCTACCAAGGCTTCACAGGTCTTCCTTTTTGTGTATATTGGTGGGATCATGGTTTGCAGTCAGACTTTTGCATGCACTCCAAAATGGAGCTATAGTGTAGTCACACTGGACATGCGAGTTTCCAAATGTGGTTTTAAACCAGTTGTTTGCAAATCTAGCCTGCAAAGGGAAAGGATGAATTGCTGTTGGAAATATGGGGCTAGAGGACTGCCGAGGTATAATTTTGTATGTCTTTCTGTATATTGCTTTTGATTAGAGCAAAGAGGAAAAGTGCAGAAGCTGCAACACTTCTATTCGTGTAGTGGCTCCTGCCTGCCAACAGCAGCAGATGACATTTTTCACCTTGAAATATCCAGAAACACTTCACAGATGCTGCCAAATCTACGTCCCTCCTGACTCATTTCAGTGAGTGAGGGAGACAGTGCTTAGATGTTGGTTCCTCTTACACCTCGTGCACCTGATTGCCTTCACTGACGTTAAGCAGTATTTCAGTCAGCAAAGAATCTGGCATATTTATGAATGAGTCACTCAGCAAATGAAGCCGCATATCGAGGCAACCATTTTACAGAAACTACTTTATATGACAGTTCAGTGAGGCTTGTCTCAACTTAGAAGTGTTTATGGTCCCAGGACAGCTGCAACACCAAGCCTTCCCTTTAACTGTGCCTTGTCTGTCCCCACCTCCACTGTAACAGAAGCTCATTTTACATTGTCAAAGAAAGCGAAATATCTTCTCAAATTCAATAAACTACAATGATAAAGAGACATTTTGCTATTGTAGCTGGGCCTACATTCACTGCTGTCTCAGGTGCATTAGTTACAGA